AATAATAATATTATTATAATTTAATAGGTGCTATTTTTTATTATATATATTTATTTAATTTTTGTTATGATTCTTATTATTATGTTTATTTGATATTATACTTATTGTGTATTAATTATAATTATTTAATTTAAAATAATGAATATAATAAATAATATATATTATATTATATATATATATATATATATATATATTATAGATAAAAATATATATAATAAAATTATATTTAATATTATTAATATTGTTATTATTATTGTTAATATTATTATTATTATTATAATTATTATTATTATTATTATTATTATTATTTTTGCCTTTTTCTATAATTTACATATATTAATTTAACCTTTTTGATTTTTTACTTTTTATACTTTTTTATATTATTTTTTTTACTTATTTACATATATATTCTTTTTTAGATATTATTTTATTTTACTCTTTAATTTAATTTTTTTTATTTATATTTATTACTATTTTAATACATTTTATTATATAAAAAATAAAATAATATGATAATATTTTTCATATTTTATTTTTAATTCTTATTTAATATTTTATATTATCTTAAACAAACGTATAATCTAAGAATTTCTACAATTTATCATTTTCTTTATTCAAACTTCTTACACTTGATAAATAATTCAAAAATGAAATTATATTTTAAATCAAAATTATATCTACGAAAAAAACATATAAATAGCAAATAGTCCATTTATTATCTTCTCTATCATTAATGATACTACACTTTTTTAAAATAAATAAAATAAATAATATTAAAAAAATCGTTAATAAAAGCAACTTTGAAACTATATATCTAAGACATTTTAAAAAATTAATATTTTCAATAATTTTTTTTAAACATTATTTAACTAAAATACACATAAATATTTAAATTGCGATTTAAAAATATTCATTCTTATTAGAATAAAAGCAAACAATTATAAATAAACATTATTTAAAATACATAAGTTGAGCCCTAAGTAAAGAGTTTCGTGTATAGTCTTATAATAAATACATTTCCAGAAATTCATTAGCAATAAGTGTAAAATATAATTTCTAGTTATATTAATAATATTTCTGATTTATATTTATTCTATTAACTTTGCTTATATTATTATTTTCATTTTAAATATCATTAAATAAGATAACCTTTGTATTGTTTTTCTTATTCGTATTATTTTATATAATTTAATTACCTATAAAATTTTCAAATCCAGACATATTCTATATATTTTAATCCGGAGAAACTGAACTTTAACTAATATAATTACTACTTCTTTTAGGATTTGTATTAATTTTTGAGTTTATATTTATCAATTCTAATTATTAATTTGCTTTTTGAATATCTGATTTGGACATTCTTTACATTAACTTTTACTTTTAATTTTCTTTGTTTACATTTTATGTTGCAATTTGGTTTTTTACGGGTTCCATTTAAGATTTTGCTATTTTCGGTTTACATTCTTTTTCTTCGAAATTTTTCACTTTCCTATTTCTATAATAGGATTTATAATCTAAAAAATAGCAGATTATACACGCGATTAATATATATATAGTAACCACGAGATATACTTTAAACATCATCTTATTTGTAGCAGCATGTGTTTGTTATACTTTATTCTCACATTTACCATCTTCATTCAAAACAAGTCCATTTTCGCACTCCAAGCATTTAATATTGCCTGCTTCCGTGCATCTTTTGCATGAGAAATGGCAAGGATCGCATGTATTAGTCTCTAGATTTTTAAATTTATTTTAAGGACATTCTGTTTTGCACTCGTTTTGGTCTAAGTAAGTATTCTCTTAGCAATAGATTTCATTACTACAGAATCCATTAAATAAATAGAGTCCCTAAAAGCATTCTGTACATTAATTAAATTGTTTACAATTTAAACAATTAGAATCACATGGTTAACAATTTCCTTAAGAATCTGGAAAAAAAGATTAATCACATTCTAGTTTGCATTATTAATCTTAGGTTAAAAAAAAATTTTATTTACAAGATACACATTTGCCCTTTTCTATACATGTTTTACAATTTAAGTCACATAATTCGCATTTTTATGTACTTCTTTTTAAATATGATCCTTCTTCACAAGTATCACATGTATTAGAATTTGAGCAAGTAAGACACGTAGGATCACATTACTAACAATTTTTATTTTAATCCTCAAATTATTTATTATCGCAATTATCGGCGCATATTTTAGTTTATAAAAGAACTTAATTATTATTACAGGTAATACATTAATTATTTACTATTCCATTTTCACATGTTTGACAATTATCATCACATTTTTCACATAAATTACTCCTTGTGTTTATATAATATCCTGCATTACATGTATTACACGAAATAGCATTTTAACATGTAAGACAGGACGCATTACATTATTAGCATGTTCTTAATGCATCTACATATTAATTTTATTAACAAGCAATAACGCATTTTCTGTCTTAAGTGAGAAAATTATTAAGTTAACATTCCGTACATTAATCATTAGTGGGTCCATTTTCGCACGCTACACAGTTTGCGTTACATTGTTCACATCTATTAGTATTAGTATTTAAATATTAACCTTTAATACAGGATGTACAAGTATCAGCATTATTATCGCAAGTTCTACAATTAGCGGAGCAAGGCGAACAAAGTTTAGTAACAGAATTTAAATAATTACCATCAGCACATGTAGAACATGAGGTATTATTAATACATGATAAGCATGATGCATTACACGGTTAGCATTTTCTCGCATTATCCGGATATTAATTCGGCAAACAGATATCTTTGCAAGTTTAGTTAGTTTATAAATATTAATTATTATTACAAGTAAGACAAGAAGTCTTTGAATCTCTACAAGTTTAGCAATTCGGATCACAAAATTCGCATAAACCACTTTAAGAGTTCGGATATTAGCCTTAATTGCAATTCCTAACGCATTTTTTTTCCAGTTATTGGTAATATAAAGGAGGTGAGCAGGACAGGCATTTAGTATTATCAGTGCCGTTTTCACATGTATTACACTAAGCATCACATGGTTCACATTTCAATGTATTTGTATTAAAAAAGTTGCCATTTACACAAAGTTAACAAGAATTCGCGTCTACACATTTAAGACATAAAATATCACAATCCCTACATTTAGGTATATCAATTTGTGTATTATCTTAATATTAATTATCATCACAAGCATCTACACATTTTTAATTTTTTGTTTGTAAAACTTTAGGTGAATTACAAGAAGTACATATATCTGGAGTATCATTTTGACAAGCTTTACAATTAATATTACAAGGTTTACATTCATTCAAATTATTTTTATAATAACCTTAATCACATATAATAACAAGTAGTTTTATTATCACATTATATACATCCTTCCATACATGCAGTACATATATTATTTATAACAAAAGTTCCTTTTGGGCAACCTACACATATATCATCTTTAAAATACTCATTATTTTCGCATTAAACACATTATAGATTATTAGTTATATGCTCAGTATCTCTACAAAGCATATTTTCAATTGAATATAAGTAGATATTTTTATCACTATGATTTTAATCATCCGCAATTAAAGTTTTTCCTTTTAAAAATAACTATCTGTACCTATGATCTTTTATAGGAAGTGTGTAATATTTATTTTTTTAATCCTTTCTTTAGATCACACGGACTTAATCAGATGTTTGATCAAATGATATATCGTATACAATGTTTCCAAAAATAATGACCGATTTATAACACAAAATATCATAATATTCTCCGAATTAAATCGGCGAACTATCTGGAGACATTTATACTTCATTAAAAGTAAGTAAGTCGTAAAATTTCCAAGTATTAGAAGTCCCAAAGCAAATTATTTTTTTCCCAATTCCAAAATCAAAAATTTCAGACATATAAAATTTACTTTATTGCAGTTTTAGTTTCTTTTTCAAAGTAACAGTATCTCCAGAAAAGTTAAATTGAACTACAAATACATTTTAATTTGCTACTTTATTTTCTAAAGTAAGGGCTATATCATTATCAATATCAATTATATACATGCACTTATTTTTAGGAAATTTGGCAATTTTGTATTTTTATCCTTTATAAATCATATATGCGACGTTATCTTATATTATAATCGCCTACAACAATAATATGATTAGTATTACAATATCCTTACACTAATTAAATATCTTTTATTTGAATCGGGACTTAGTCACAATTGTCATCAAAAAAAGGAGTGTTATAAAAAGCGAAATATTTCGAATTGAATATTGCATTTTAATTTTTTAAAATATTAATTGATTTCATCTATTTCTAATTCTGATATTTGAAAAAGATAACATTTTTGAAGGGAGAATTTTATATATACTATTGTTTTCCAAATTATAAAGATCTATTAAATCTATTATTTAGTAATTATGTTATAAACGGTTTAATATAAATAATTTTGGTCGGCCTAATTTAGTCTCAATAAAATATGCATTTTCGTCGACTGCTTCAATCAATTTATCTAGAATTATTTACTTTGTTATATAACCATCTTCATTTAATATACAATAATAATAATATTTCATTGGATTTTCATTAGTTGGTCTTATTATTATGGCTGATTCTTCAGAAATGTTATACCAATATAGATATATTTATAATGGATATTAGAATGTATTTATTTTTTAGATTATCAAAATTAAATAAATTAATAATAAAATTAATTATTTACTCTTCATTTTTTTTTAGTTATTAGCTTTTTGATTTTTGTAATTAATTTTTTATACTTTCTTTTTTCTATTTTTTATTTTACGGAATATATTTGATTTATAAAATTTATTATTAATAATTACTTTTAGAAATATCAATTTATTATTATTATGATGCAATCTTTTTATTTTATTATATTATTGAATGTAATTATTTAATATTATATTAATATATCATATTTTTAAAATATTAATATAAAATTAGAATATAAATTTAATTTTCTAATATAATTGGTAATATATGTATCTTAATATTAATTTTTATCTGATAGTAATTTATATTATTATTGAGCATATATTAATATAATGAAAAAAATAATAATTAACACAAATTAATAAATTTTAATGTTCTAAATAAATTCAAATTAATTTGATATATAAAAATACAATATAATATATTAAATGCTTTATATATGATTCATATTATTTTGAAAGTTATCAATTAATTACATATTTACATTTAATCATAAAATAATAATATTATCTATATTAATTTTATTTAATAATTTTTAATATAATATAATTTAAAATACTTTTAATAAAAAAATTATTAAATATATATATTTTTTATCAGTAAATCCAAAATTTCGAATTTTTATGAATAAAAAAATAAAATCTTTATTAACTTTTTTTTTTTTTTATATTAAATAAATATAATATGTTTTTAATTTTATTTAGTCAATAAATAAAAAAAATATTATAGACCCAAAAAGCTTTAAAATTTTTCATGAAAAATGTATTTAGTTCCGAATATTATTTTCAATTTTTTGTTCTATGTAAATTATGAAGAATAATTATAAATTAATCATATATAATTGGAATTAAATAAAAATAATAAATTGCTAAAATTTGTTTATTGGAAGTATTATGTATTATTAGATAATCTAAGTTATATAAGTTAAATCTAAAAGAATATTAAGAAAATAATTAAGAAGACAAAGTCTTAGAAATTATATTATAGATTTTAAATATGAAATAAGAAAATATAATTTTTATAAATAATATTTATACATGATTTATTTTAAAAAAATGTCCAATATATAAAATAATTATTAAAATTATAGAAAAAATAATTTTTTTAAAAAATATAAAATAATATAATAAAATTAAAATAAAAAAAGAAAAATTAATTAATTAATTATTAAACAATAATTATGAAAAATAAAATTAATTATATTTAATATATAAATATAATATTTATTATATTATTAAATATATAAAAAATATTTAATTTATATATATCAATAAGTACTTTTTATTATATATATATTTATAATATTTAAAATAATTGATAAAATTATTTTTATATCAATACAAATGTAAAAATTATATTATATAAAATATTGATATAAAAAATATCCTTAATAAATATATAATTCATAATAAAATCTGATAATATTGTTTTTATATATAATTTTCTAAAAAATAAAATACATAATATTAAAAAATTTAGTTTTTCTTATTTTTCAGGTTAAATATTAAATTAATAATATATAAGAGTTTATTTTTAAATATATTTCATATTTCAATTAAACTACATAAGTATATAACACATATTTATATATAAATTAAATCCATATTTAAAATTTAATCTTAGTTGATAAAATTAGAGAAGTTTTATCAGATAGAATTGTATAAAAAATACAAGAAGAAATTAAAGAAAATATAAAACATAATTTAACTTATTAAATATTTTATATTTATAAAATAAAAAAGTATAAAGCACTAAATAATATTATTTTTACTCACAATTAAAAAATATAAAAAATACATTTTTTTCAATTTATTGTACATTACTAACTAAAAATCAGCTTAATCCTGATGGTTTATATTTAAATTTTATGGTCAATTAACTATATTAAGCTTTTCCTTATTTTATTTTAATTAAAAAATATATAACATTGGGAAGTGGTTTAATTAGTTTAAAAGCCTTTTGGACATTATATGAGGCAAGAGTTTAATTTATATAAGTAAACATTATATATAAGATTATTAATTTTTTTAAAAAAGGTAAAATCTAAAGTAAAATAAATTTTTAATTTAATGTTGTTAAAAAAAGCCTATTAATTATTTTCTAAAAAGTATACCAAGAAATGTCGGGAAAAAAAGAGTTTATATATTCTTAAAAAACACGAAAAAGCTCTTAAGACTTTATTTTATTCAAAGATTATTTTTTTTAATAAAATATAAAACTAATTTTTTTAAAACATTTATGGGATATGGGAGGTTTTAATGATTTTATTAAAATGTATTAAATAAAACTGAATATGTATACTTTATATTCAAATATTTTTATATATCCTGTTTCTATATATTGTTTTTATTTTTTTATAAGAATATGATTTAATAATCTCATTTAATTATAAAGAAAAACATATAAAAATGTATCTTATAGATATATAGTTTATTTGAAAAAAAAATATATTTAAAATAAAATAAATTAAATCATTTTTATTATAAATGCTTTATGTAAATATTTTTTTTTAAAAAAAATATTATAATGATTTTATAAGATATAAATAAAGTATTGTATTTTTTTTTTTTTTAGGAATGATATAAAAAATAATTAAACGTAATTATTAAAATAATTTAATATAACAAAATTTATATTTATTTTAAAAGTAAAAAAATAATAAATAAATATATATTAATTAATTATAAATATTTTAAATAAAAAATATAAATATATATACATATAAAATAAAAATATCAATATATAAATATATATTATTTTAATATACGATTTTTGCGTTAGATGATTTGTTATAAAAACAATTTTAAAAATTTTAGTATTAATTATTTTTAAGATTTAGGTATAATAATTTCTTATACTATGAAACTAGGATACCTGATTTAAGTATATTTTATTCATATCAAATAACTTAAATAAATAAATTTGTATAATCTTGAGAATCGTAATATAATAATTATAGTCAATACAACTAAGAATAATAAAAAGATTATGATACTTGTATATATCTTTTTAAGTTAAATATATAATAATCAAATAAAATTTACTATACATATAGACTTATTAAGAACAAATTATTTTTTAAATATATTTCATGAAAAGAAAATTAAAATTTTTATATAATTATTATAAAATAAAATAAATATATATATAATATTTATTTATTATATATATTAAATAATATGTAATTTAATTATAAAACTAATTTTTATCTAAATAAATTATCATATGATTTTTTATATTCATTAATAATCTAATATTTAGCGTTATTTTTTTCATATTTTCATAAATTTTTAATATTTCTTCCTTTTTCATTTTCCTTTTCATTTTCATTTTCATTTTCATTTTCCTTTTCCTTTTCCTTTCCTTTGCTAAATAGTAACCATAGACTGTCCATTTTCCCTATTAGGTTTTTTTATGTAATTAAAGATAGCAGATTTCGTTTTTATGATTTAAACATTTAATAAAAATTCTATTTATAGTGCCCTATCTAATCTGAAAATTGATTAAAAATAAATATTTTGAACCTTAGTATTCTAAAGAATGTTCAAAAAATTAATCTAATCTGAAAAATTCTGTATTTCCTATAGTAAAAAATACGAATGAAATTCTTTCCCTTAATTTCATCTTTAAAAATTTTTAAAGTAGTCAATCTAAATATTGCTGTAGGTTCTGCAATTATACTTATTTCATATAATAAGAGAATAGAGAATAATATTGCCTTCA